GTTTTTAATACATCCAAAGAGTTGTGCAACCATTACTATAATCTAATTTAAAATATTTGAGCTATTTTCACTGTGTGAATATTATGAAACATGTTACTATGGACACTAATATGCAAGTTTTTGTGCAGACATGTTATTTCTGATGAGAATATACCTAGGAGTAGAGTTGTTGGATTGATAGCAATTCTATGTGTCACTGTTGTGTTGGATTTTTTTTTTTTTTGAGACAGGATCTGACTTTGTCATTCAGGCTGCCCTGAACTCAGTATGCAGCCCAGGCTAGCCTCGGATGTGCAGTGATCCTCCTGCCTCAGCCTCCTGAGTGCCAGGATTATGGGCGTGCACCACCATGCCCTGTAACTGCTGTTTTGAGTGCGACCCCCCAAGGCTTCATGTGCTAGGACCCTGGACCTCAGTGTGACAATGTTGAGATGTGGTGGGATCCTTAAGAGATCTGACCTACGAGGTCATGGCTACTGCTCCCTGCATCCTACTCACTTCCTGTGTGACCCTCTGGTGCGTGACTTCCTCCCACATGTACTCCTGGCATTGTGATTGTGACTGTGCGTCTGCAGAGCTCGCCCATCTCGAATGAAGCCTTCAGCTGAGCTGTGAGGATACTGGGGCTGTGCTGGAACAGAAACTGCATTAATCAACTTGTTTTCTTTACGAAGTACCCAGCCTTTGGTCTTTTGTTTTAGCAACTGAAAAAATAATATGTGCTAATGCAGTGACCTTTGCAGGAGCTGCCAAGCTATTTCCCGAAGTACATGCACTATTTTACAAGACCCCCCAAGCAATGTACATTTGATTCTAATTTCTCCACATTTTTGCCAACATTTGCCGTTTACTTTTTTTTTTGTTATGGCCACTCTATTGGCTGTGAAGTATATAATACTGTAACTCTGATTTGCCTCTCTCTAAGAACGAAAGCTATTGAGCAGCTTCGCATTTGTTGACTGGCCGTATGTATACTTGTGTAGAAAAATACCTTTTCAAATTATCTGTCCATTTAAAAAACACTGGGCTATTTTTCCATGTTGAGTTATGAAACTTTTTAATACAGCATGTTCTGGACATAAACCCCTTAACATATACACGATTTGTCAATATAAACCCTCCTATTCAGGTTGTCTCTTTACGGAGTCCTTTGAAGCACAAAAGTTTTTAATTTTGATGAAGTTTAGCTTTTTCTTGCGCAGTGTATGCTCCTGGCGCTGGGCTAGCACTCCATTGTCTTGGTCATGACGGTGAAGACTGTTTCCAAGGGTCTCATAGGTGCAGCTCTTGCATCTGCTTTTCTGATTTACATTTTTGTGCCTAAGACCGAGGGTCCAATTTCTTTTGTTGCATGTAGGTATTAAATTGTCCTAGTGGATGGTTGAAAAAAACTATTCTCCATGGAGTCTTCTGTGAATACTGCCAAGAGACAATTGGCCATAAATGCGTGCATTAGTTTTGGGGCTGCAAAATCAATTTCAATGGAATAGATCAATCTATAGGCCTAGCTCCAAGTTAGCAGCATGCGGAATGGATGAACATGCTCTGCAGCACCAAGCTTTGAAGTTGCAACACGTTATTTTTCAGGATTGTTTTTCATAGTAGGCTTAGAAAGACACAATTTAAGATTAGATAAATGTCTGAGATTTTTTAAAGGGCCGTATATTTACGTTGTTGTGTGTTTCTTTTTACACGTCATGTTTCAATAAAAGTTTGCTAACTTTCTATGAAAAAAATATAAAAGTTTGGATTTGGTGGGAGGGAAGGACGGACGCTGAAAATTGATGGTAGGGGCTGGGGATGTGGCTCAGTGGTACCGGGCCTCTCTGGCAAGCACAAAGGTCCTGAGTTCGATCCCTGGTACCAAAAAACAAAACAAAAAAAGACTAAACCTACTCATTCATAAGATGTTGCTAATGGGATCACAAATATATAGTAGCACCTACTTGCAGCACATGAAAACTGATGGTATATAGGTGTATGTGGCATGATCAAAATATAGAGGGAATATTTAAATTTCAAAAATTATTACAGTAAAAGGCATACTGCAATTAATCCCCCTCAAAACACCTCCCTGCTGGGTATGGCGGTGCACACCTATATTCCCAGCACACGGGACGCTGAGGCAGGAGGATCACCCATGAGTTCGAGGCCAGGCTGGGCCACCCAGTGAGACCGTGTCTCAAAACAAAACAACACTCCCCTATTCCTTCGAACACATTTATCCCATCCTATCACTGTTGCCACTTTATGAAGCAGTTCTGGAAGTCCTCTTTCCTGAATGTCTCTAGGAGGTCTGATCCAAAAAATGGTGAAAGCAGCTGCCCAGTACCAACAGAAAGGCAGGCTTGTAAGGACATCAGTGTCCTCATCCACCTCATGCGCAGGATCTGGCAGTGCACGATCTCTGCTTCTTTTCTGAAGTCAAAATGACGAGAAATGTGAATGTTCTGAATCGAACAGGACAGGAAGGCAGCCAGGGCAAGGCAACTAAAGATGCAGCACCAGAGGAGCTGTCAGGAGGTGAGGCCTGGCCAAGCTGGCAGGCCATAGGGCATGCGCCTGGAAGCTGTGTTCTTCAGCCTGGCCTTTTCCTCTTTCTCCCTCGCACTCCCTGCTTCCAGCTGCCAGGAGGTGGGCAGCTTTCCTCTACCATGATAGTTCTGCCTTGGAGCCAGCCAACCACAGCCAAAATAAGTCCTTCTGCCTTTAAATTGGCTCAGGTACACAGAAATCTGACAACTAGGCACACACCGGGTATTTGGTGAACAGTACTTGAGGATTATTATTATTATTATTTTTAGATAGGGTCTTTCTGTGCTGTTCAGGCTGGCCTTGAACTCACTGAGTAGTACAGTTGGCCTTGAGCCTGAGGCAACCCACCTGCTTCAGCCTCCCAAATGCTAGGATTACAGGCCTGTGCCCCCCCCCAACCTGATTACCTTGTTTTTTTGTTTTGTTTTGTGGTATGGGGATCAAACTCAGGACCAGGAGCTTTTGAGGCAGGTGTGGGGCCATTGAGCTAAAAGCCCGGCCTAGACTACCTTGTTTTAAACAGTATTTTCTTGTTTCAGAATCCTAGTTACTTAAAGATTTATGGACAGCTGACTGTCAAGAGCTTCATATGCAACACACAATCAACAACTGGGGGGGAGGATCTAATTTCCCTTTTACAGTCAGCCACTGGGGATACAAGCTCCTAGTAGTCACTAGAATCTGAAAAGATGGTCATTTAACTTCTCCGGAATTAATTTACCTACCGAGCTGGAGTCACCAGAGTGAGCCAAGGTCAACTGGAAAGCGCTGGTTAGTGCTAGAAGACCTGGATTAGAATTCTGGCTTTTTCAGGCTGAGAATCCTCCGAAACTTGTTTTCCATTCCTTTTTTTTTTCGTTCCTTTCAGCAAATGCTGACTAGCTGTTATAAACCAGGCTCTGTGGCCAGGGATAGAAATGCAACAGAGAACAAGGCTGTATTCCCACTCTCGGATCTCACATCCAGGGGAGGGTACACCCTAAACCCATCTCTCTTCTCAAAGGTGCAAAGGCCTCTAACTCCAATTTGAAGGTTTAGGGGCAGTAATTTTAGCATTCGATCAAAGCTTGAAATACGGCACAATCTGCTGACCACCAAGTGAATATTCTGGCTGCCCTTTACAAAAGGGTCAACCCGGTTCCGCCTAAGCGGCTTCCGTAAGCACCCTGCCCCAACACGGAGGCAGTGTCCTCTTTATCGCCTGTGACCCAGGCTTTGCATCCGCACCAATATTCAGAGGGAGACTGACAGGCCTCCTTTCTTTCGCCCAAGTATTTCCGACAAGAATTTGAGAAGAATCGGGGTTGCAGAAAAGCTAGTTTTCACTTAGCAAGGCAGATTCCTAATAGGAGAGGCCGAAAACATCTGAACCCAAGGAGCTGAACCGAAGAGGACGGCGGCGAATGCAAACAGCAATAGTTTAAACCGTTCCACGTCCTCCATCCCTAGCAACGAAGCTTTCTAAGAAATGCAACTTTTCCAAGCATTAATGCTCTGCCAGCAGCGTGCACCGCGCCGCCGCGCTACGCACAGCTGGGAGGGAGAGGCACTGCCCTGCTGACCGCAGCTGGGGTAGGGAACAGTGGTCACGTGAGCGGCAGCCCAGAATCCCAGACTGCGCATGCTCCCAAGCCTCGGCTAGTCCCGCTTCCGCCCGGTCTGCGCGCCCGCCGAGGGCCACGCC